GAATGCCTCACAAAAGTTTGTGCACGACCCATTGCGGACTCCCCAAATGCTTGCTTTAGCATTTCATAGGTTTCCGTAGCCGTTTTGGCGAGTCTTTGGCAAAATTTGATTTGTTCATGAAAATCCGCCATTCCGAAATCGCAGGAGGGTCGGTGTAATGCACTACCAAAACGCCCGTAACTAAGAAACAAATGCTACTTCGATGATGCCGGCTGGCACACTGATTCACTATGAATGTAGGCCGCACCCCCTAGCGGCAGAAGCTCGTGCTACATCCGGTTCGCCCGCTATTGACACAGTCTTGAAACTTTCCGATCGCACCTCGTATATCTCTCCATGGCGTGGTGCTTATTTTGTATTAGGGATAACCTCTCTTAGACAGTCTCCAGGCTAAAATCTGAATCAGGGACCTCCAGGAAGCAAATAAATTCTGCTAACCACTACATGCAAATCTGCTCTGTACTTTTGTATAGTTGATGGTCATAAAATATTAATTTCTATTTTGATAATTTACTAATTAGTAAGCGTGTGTCGTATTGTGCTATAAGTTATGACAGAGGTCAGTGTTTGCTGACCTGATTAATAAGAGTAATATCTCGATCAGATACGTGGTAAACCTGATAGATATCTTGATCGCCATATCATTCATCAACGAACAACCTGTTACCAGAGTTACGTATTTCTACATTTATTCGGTGCGTGCGTGTGTGTGTGTGTAGGGCTACGTAGATACGCTGTCTACAAAGCCGTGTTCCGTAAAGTGCCTCCCACCACTTTTGTAAACAATAGTGAAACAGAAAACTAATTTATAAATTAATCAAAATTCTAGGAACTTTGGACATAAAAGTTTAATTAATGTACTCATTTGGATTTTGTGAATAATTACTATAGTGAACTCTTGAGTTCGTATTGCTGTTACTCTGGGACGAAGCAAAACTTTTTAATGTGCCATGTGGTTTGTTTGCAGCGAAGTTAGACACAAACGTGTTTTAGATCTGCAGTTCTTTATCGCAATAAATAAGCTTTCGAATGTCACATGAATTAACGTACAGATACACATTTCTCAGCTCGTTATTTCCATGCTTACGTTAGTGACTGACGACGGTCGTTGGCCATTCCACTCACAGAACGGCCGGAATGAGAGCAAAGTAGGATTTCCAAGACTATCAATTATTCGTCATCATTCACTGAGTTTCATTTCATACGCCAAATTCACGGGCTTCTCGCCCTAAGGAAAGACCCTGTGTCTGAGATCAAGGAAAAGAGGGCAATATTCAGATCTATGAGGGACAAAGCGACAGGGTACTAGAGAAAATTACGCAATAAGTAACTTCATAACTTCTGCTCTTCGCTACATATTCCTACATGGATTAAATCCAGGAGGATGAGATGGCTAAAGCATTGAACATGCATGACAGCGATAAAAATGCCTACAAAATTTTAGTTGACATGAATGAAAGAGACATTTTTGAAGTTCTATATGCAGATCGACGGATAATATTAAAATGGATCTTAAAATACTTGATTGTAGGCTGTTGTAGACGCCGTAATGAAATTAATAAACGAAGGGCGGATCAAATATTTGTTGGCTAGCTGAGACACCGTCAGCTTCTCTCGAACGACAGCGCTGCAAGGAGTTTGTTGCCTTAAGGTACAATTTGGCTGCACGCGACAGAGACAAGCGACCGAGGCAAGCGACAGAGACGGGAGACGGACACATCGCAGCTTGTCGCCACACACTTTTGAGGTGACGACCGAGACATGCGGCAAAGTGTTTGTTTTCTTTGTTTTGTTGAGACATACGTGCACATATTCTGTG